AACTTAGAATCCTAAAAATATTGTTAGTGATCCATAAAATAAATAAATTCATATCTGTTTGGAATGGATTGAACGTGAGTAACTGATACTCAGTTTTATTTTTAGTTAAACAGTGTATTTAATTGTGCTGCTGCCTACTATGATATCTTATTTTGGCCACATGGCATATATCCACGTTGTGAATTTAGTCCCATAATGCATTGCAATGAGCTCAGCCAAAAAAATCAATATAAGATAGTATACGTCGTGAGGAATATGAGACTGGTCTCATGAAAAAATAGCATGATTAGCATGATTTTCGGTTTTGGCGTGCTATTTATATGCAGAAATGGACTTTGCTGTGCATATGATATGCACGTGTTTGGCATGCATATAATACGCCGTTTTCACGTGCATATGATACGCAATGTCTTGGCGTGCATATGATACACAGTTTTGGCATACATATAATATGCACCTACCCCGCAACCCCCAAGTTCTGCATATAAATAGTACGCCAAATAAAAATATACATAATAAAATATACATACAAAAATATAAGATATATACGCACTTTCATGATATCAGGTTGGAAATATTGGCTAAATTCAGAATAACATAGCCTACTAGCATACTAAGCCTTTTTATGTCTTTTCAAAGTTTAAATAGTTCACCCTAAAATGAAAATTCTGTTATTAATTACTCACCCTCATGTCGTTCCAAACCTGTAAGAGACCTTCGTCTTCGGAACACAAATTAAGATAGTTTTGATAAAATCCGAGAGCTTTCAGACGCTGCATAGAAAGGTAGTAAGGACATCGTTAAAATAGTCCATGTGACATCAATGGTTCAACTGCAATTTTATGAAGCTACAAGAATATTTTTGTGGACAAAGAAAACAAAAATAACGTCTTTATTCAACAATTTCTTATTTTCCACGTCAGTCTTCAACGCAGACTATTTTAACAATGTCCTTACTACCATTCTGGGCCTTGAACGTTATAGTTGTGTTGCTGTCTATGGAGGGTCAGAAAACGCTCGGCTTTCATCAAAATATCTTAATCTGTGTTCTGAAAATGAACGTAGGGCTTACGGGTTTGGAACAACATGAAGGTGAGTAATTAATGACAGAATTTGTATGTCAGAAATAGTAAGAGTAATATGCTATTTCAAATTCAGTTCTTGCTTATAAATGTACTTCATTCAGTATTGGAAAGTAGAGTTTCAAATACTCTAACAAAAAATGGATTACTGGTGCAATGTATTTTTATGCTTACTAGTGTATTTCATTGATAACTTGGCAACATGCTAGCATCAAACTCTACTGTTGTCATCGGAGTCTGGTCTCCCATGTGTTGTTTTGAATTGCATTTTATGTGTAGTGCTCCAAATAATTTACTTATGAGGCTCTAAGATGGTTAGTATGCTGCATTAGAAGCCACCTAAGTAGGCAGTACGCAGTGTGGCAGCTCACTATAGTTTTTGAATCTGAGCTACTGTCTCTAGTATCATCTATCACAATACACACTGTATGCTACAGTACTGCATCCCTAGTTCACAATGTGTTAGCTCACTTCAATTCTACAATTCTTGTCTAGCTCACTTCAAGTCTCTTTCTCTCCTTCTCTCTTTCTCTTTCTCAAGCGCGCACACACACACACACACACACACACACACACACACTCAAACATTCATCCCCCCTCCTACTCCTCCAACACCCACAACACGCAACCGAGAGCAAGGAAGATTTCTCGCTGGCACTAATAATGAGATCCTTTTCTCGAAGGCTACCCCTACCAATCCAATTCAATATGGAAACCACAAACACATTATGCACAACTGTCGTGACGAGAATCTGGCAACAGTGCCCACACTGCGGATGTCAAAAATGAGGCACATTTCACAGAGCACTGAAACCACTTTGTGCAGCTTAGCATTATATCTTCAGGGTACATTTAGTTTTAATTCTTAATTGTCTTCATTACAGTGCTTCCAAGGCAGTGTATTGACAATTCTCAAACTTTCTGGTCGGGGGTTATTCTAAATCTTTAACCTTAAGTGAACTTATATGAATACCTCCAAAACATTACACACTCATAATTTCAGTGTTAAAGGGATAGTTCATAACAATATTCCTGTTTTGAATCAAATAAATGCAGCCTTGGTGAGCATAAGTGACTTCTTTCAAAAACTTTTTTAGCACTAGTGTGTTCCTTAAATAACATACAAATACATATATTTGTGGTAAACAAAACATTTTGTTAGAATAGGCTACATGGCTTCTTCTGAAAGGCCATCAGTGGATAAAGGCACATTTTCCCAGCAGAATGGTGTAGTTCCTGCATCTACCAGCAGGGGCTTACCTGTCCAAGCTAACCAGTCAAACACAAACCCCTTGGTACATACATACAAGGAATCCTAGAGAATAAGATAGACTGAGCAATATAGCATACTATCAGGCATTTTTAACTCCCATTCCCAGTGACTTTGCCACGGTTTAACATACTGCAATACTGAGCTTCTGAGGTTTGGTGCATTTCCATGCAGTGATGCCATTCACCGCACTTGTTCACAGCGCAACGTTTTTCCACAGTCACTTCTGCACGATCTGCCTTTACCCCCCAAGCAATTCATAAGCAGAGGCACTTTCTCAGTGGTCAACAGTGAATGCTGCGTCAAATATGCAATTGCACCCCTGATTGCCATTTAACTGGGTGTGTCTGTTTATACTTCTTATTACACAGCATGATTAGGAACAGAACTCCATTTTACATGTTATTTCAGGCTGAAATACTCATCCTCATATAGACGCTCATTTCAGATTTTTTAATCTAAAGCATTCAAGAATAGATGAAGATACTATTTTGCTTGAATTTTTAAATGTTGGATGTTTTGGGTCTGGTTGTTGTGGCAGTGCTGCAGAGGTGGAGACCGCAGGTATTTGCTATTCTCAGAGTGTCTCACCAAGTCCCTCTCTCCATCTCCCTCGCCCTCCATCTTTTGCGTTCCCTCTATCTTCACCTTACCCTCCACCTCTCTCTCTTTATATCTTTTCCTTTCTCTTTCTTTCCCCCTCCATCTCTCTCCCTTGCCCTCTTTCTTATAGTCAACAACATGATTTTTTCCCTGCTCTCTGAATGAGGCAAACCCTAACAAACATGTAGTCAGCTGTGCAATGGCTCTGCCTTTCCCACAATAAAAAAAATTGCATGAAAACATCACCTCGGCTTCGGCATCCCGCTCTTAACTCTTAAAGAGACACTTAACAATCAGTCTCTACTTATATTCAGATGAAGCGAGTGACTCATTTGTAACAGGTAAGGTACATTATCCAACATGTTGCCTGGCTTACATGTATTGGTATTTACACGATGTTGCCGGAGCTATTGCCATAAACATGACTCATGAACCACAGGAGGAGGCCGGAAAGTGTGGAGGAACATTCTGGGTAAACACCACTTGTGTAATGGAGACGATGTGGTCAGGCCTCCACTGGTGTCCTTGTTGACCTAGTATCATAATGCACCTTATACATGCCGTAAATCAGAGCCTGACAAATGCATTTCAAAACGAACATCCCTTTTTCAACATTGATCTGTTCCGAATAAAGGTATAGCACTTGGAATAAATGTATGAATAAAAATAAACGTGTGTGGAGGAGAAAATGGTTTATTTAAATTAATACAATTTTGCCTGTAAAATAATATGAATATGAAGCATATACTTCATAAATTTAAGTAATTTGTTTATAATTTTTCATCCTGACATTGAATCAGCATAATATTTTAACTCATACTTGAATGGGCAAAATTAAATTAAATTAATTTTTGTGAATCAAATGGTGGTGTATGAGCTCTGTCTAGTAATGTTCAACAATCTAAACAAAAGGGATCAGTTATTATTACCTGAGTGTTTAAATATACAGTGCATTTGCTTGATGAGCACATTTTTTCCTGTGTTAATGTATTTCCGACTGAAACAGGAAGTTTGGGCCTTTGAAATGAGAAATGTGGGATTCAAGCGAAATGATTGGAGAAGTTTGGCATATGTCACCAGACAAGTGTCATTTCAACAGAAGATCAAGTTATTACATTTTGACAATATGAGGTTAAAAAACACACAGTGAGACCTATAAAATGCATTTACAAACTAGATATTTATTTTATGCAGACTTTAAAGCAGGGGTGGGCAAACGTGGCCCTTTCAGAGGTTAGCTCCAACCCTAATCAAACACACCTGAAGCAGCTAATCATTGTCTTCAAGACTACTAGAAGGCTACAGGCAGGTGAGTTTGATCAGGGTTGGAGCAAATCTCTGCAGGAAAGGGGCCTGGAAGGGCCAAGTTTGCCCATCACTGCTTTAAAGGGTTCCCTTGTGTTCCCTTTTTATTTGACGAGCCGATAGACTTTAGTTTTACCACAGTCAAGAACTACGATTTGCTACTTTCAAGACAGCTGCAGAGAGGAACCATTTAATTAGACATAAATCGATAGTACAAGAATTAAAAATGAAACTTTAAATGTGTATTTTTGCTCAAAATTAAGCTAACAGACAGACTAAAAACCGATATTCTGTGGTCTTTAAAACTGAATTTCCGAGAAACAAAAACAACAACAACAAAATAAATAAATAAAATGAAAAATAAAGGAAAAATGGTCATAACCTTGCTTCTTCAAACATTACAAATAAATATAATTGAAGAAACAAATCATATGCACGTTAGTTTCAAGCCCAACCTGAGATGGTACTCATGGAGCCTTGGTCTGGCCTCTTCTTTTGATAAACAAATATATTTATTGCTGAAACATTTTCACAATTATTATTTTTTTACTTTACTGAGAATATAAATATTAATATCCAGTAACCATAATTTTCAGTTAAGTTTGTCGCTTGATTTACACAGGTCTAGACAGTACAACAATCCAACGATTAGAGCGTGCCTTCCCCTTTAAGGAGCCCCCCCTTTTCTCCACAGCAGGAGGAGGCTGAGCATAATCCTGGAACAGCGATTAAAAAAAAAAAAATCACCAGTAGACTGTTTCAAGTTCCCCCAGCAGAAACTCTGCCTGATTTGTGGCCAATGCTGGGGATGTACGAAAAGGGAGGAAAACACTAAGCGGGTAGCTATGGAGATAGACCGTTTTCCTGGCCGCTTCCTTTGACAGGTGTTGAGTTGGTTAAAAGTCTTCAAACAGAGTCCACCATGTACGCCAAAGGGAAAGGAGCTGTCGTTCCATCCGATAATCAAGCCAGAGAGAAGTAAGTGAATTTGTGCATTGTCACATATAAAGCAAAAACCTGCACGTTCTCTGATGCCTGCGCTGCGTTGCACGAGACGGCTATCGGCGACTCTTTATTAAGTAGTTTCTTTGCAGATTATGTGCGGTGTGATTGTGCAGTGTCCATCTAGCTGTGTTGCTGTGTTTTTCCTTATGCATGCTACTTGTGCTTGCTTTGGAACAACTTTATCATGCATTCGGGTAGTAGATGTTACATGAAGGATTGTACTGTGCAGATGCAGATTTGTGGAAGGCTTGGATCAATGCATCATGTAGATGCTCAGATGCTTCTTGTATATGAGACATACAGGAGTCCCGAGATCTCATCTTTGAAGCACATAATCATGTTAGAGCAGCTGTACAAACTAATGTAATTAAATAGTTTGATTTGATGAGTGAGTTTGTGATAGTAGAAGATTTTACTTGGTTTAACCCCCCCCCCCCCCCCCATACTTGCTCATTACTGTTGTTATAAATTCTCAGTTTCTTAACTTTTGTGTTAGTGACTTTTTAAGGTTTGCTGTTATAAATACATAAGCCAGGGTTTGTATTTTGTGCAAAAACAGGAGTCGCAAGACATGCAAGTTATGATGCTTTAGCATATGTGGGCAGTGTAGTTTAAAATAAGCTCTGAAAACCTGGAAATATCAGGTGACTTTAAAAGTATGGTTTCCACACAAACTCATAGAGATTTCAATAGGGATGTTTAAGCTATGCCATGTTTAAGCCACCAGACATCGGTCTTTATGGAGTAAAACATTTGTATACTAATACCTTTAATTGTTTACATAATTCATTCCAAAGCTTGTTGCCTGTAAATGGATATTTATTACTGAAATATCTATGATATTTTTTAAAAAGCTTTACGTGGTGATTATGAACGACTGGAAAGGTCATTGAACAGTCATGAGTCAAAAAATGCAGAAACCCTTTAAATTAAATGCATATCTAATCCCAAATTACAGCATATCCTCGTGGCAGTAAAACGTTTAGTGGTTTGTAAGGTTGTCTGAAATCGTCTTATTCCGTAATGGCTGATAAGTGTCCATATGGCTAGTTTAAGACAGTGTTGTTCTCATAATCCGTATACTTTTTTTTGAATAGCTACTTGGGTCTGATAGACTGCACTTGTGATCAGCTTCAATCGTTCTGTTGAAACAACTGAATCCAGGTTGTGCTGATAGTGACCACTTAAAGGGTTAGTTCACCCAAAAATGAAAAATAGGCTGCGTTTTACTCACCCCCGATGCATCCTAGGTGTATATGACTTTCTTCTTTCAGACGAATCCAGTCGGAGTTATATTAAAAATTGTCTTTGATCTTTCAAGCTCTATCGTTGCACTCAGCGGGTGTTGCATTGCTTCTGTCCAAAATAAGTTAAATAAAAAGCACCTTTCCATAAAAAGAAGTGTCTCACACGGCTCCGGGGGGTGAACAAAGACCTCCTGTAGCGAATCGATGTGTTTTTGTAAGAAAAATATCTATCTTCAAAACGTAATAATCACTTGAATCTAGCTTGCGCTCACTGTTGTAAAATGGAAGCAGTCCCGGGGGAATTACGTATGAGGTCAGCATTGCGCATGCGCCGCTCAGAAGTGACGCACGCGGAGAGAT